GAGATTGCCTGCCTTACTATATGTAAAGGAAACAAAGACCCTTTTTTCTGTTGTTAAAAACTCCACCCACTTCAGAGGGTTTTTTCCCCTCATTGTTCAGTGGAATCTGAGGGTGACCTAACAATGCGGTCAGATGAAAACTTGTTGAGCAAGATAAACATTAGGGAATTCACAGCATTCTCATGATTCGCCCTTTGAGTCTGGGAAAGGAATGGCTTGCATGGTGAGTTCCAACCAGTCTGCACACAGTTTTGCCTCACCTGCTTTTGGGTGGCGTGAGTGTGGCAACACATACGTTGCTAACGGTGTTGCTTGAAAGTAAATATTGGACCAGCCAAGAACCCAGACTGACATTCCCAGGCTGTTGTTTGGAAGTTGTAAGAATTCAGTAAGGGCAAAGTGAACCCCAAACTCTGCAAGCCTTATTTTCTCCTTAGTATCTCTGTTGCACTTTGGTGTTTGTAGTGAAATATTTGAGCTTCAGGTGCCGTCTAGGGCTGCTGTCAACAGGGCCCTTGCTGTGGGGATTAATCCCATGGACTTTGGCGGGACTGTTTTTGTGACGGGATTACTAGGGAATTGGCCCCATAATTAGCATAGCTTCTGTACACTGCATTTGCCTCTCCTGCTTGTGCTGTATCAAAAGCAGATGATAATCAGGTATGACTAGGAAGTAGAACATAAATGCTTTGGTTAGGTTTCAGCTATTTGATCATGTGAAGCCTGCTCATTTTTTGTGGTTAATGTTTCCAAGTCTGGGAAGGGAGGGCTGTGGGAGAAGGGAAGAACCATACTGCTTGAACATGACATAGGCAAGAGGCGAGAAAGGAGAGGCTGAAACGGGCATGGGATCTTCTCTGGTCTCTTAAAATATATAGGTAACCCCCGCTTAACACTGTTTCACTTAGCACTGTTTCGCTCATTTGAAATTAATACCTGATTTCACTTAGCGCTCAATGAATTGTTATAACCCTTGCGGTCACCATCTTGGGGCATTAAAAACAATTGCGTTCGCCGTCTTGGGTCATCAGTAACTTTCAGTTTTGCTTAACACTCGTTTCACTTAACGCTTGTTTTTTCAGGAACCAATTAAGAGTGCTAAGCGGGGGGTTGCCCATATTCCCAATTCCATGGATTTCTGTATGGGTCGATGGATGCAATGCATGCAGCAGTCAGGCCTTTGTTTGCTTGGTGTTCCTATTCCTGCCCAGTATATCAAACCTCTGTGCCTTCATGGCTGCAGTAGTACATGACCATTTTAGTAGCAAGAATGCTGACCCAAAGTGCCCAGTCTGCACTATCCTATATGATGTGCCAGGGAATGGAGGGAAGGAGAAGTTCTTTCAAAATATGGTCTTGGAAGCAACAAAGCCTTGAAGGTTGGCCTTCATCTTTAGACTCTCTTCTAGGAATTCTTTCACTCGTTTTTTTTTCTGCACATACAGCTTCTCGTGTCTCCATCCTGGACAAATGTACCACTCAATTATATGCTGAGTTTACATTCAATAGAAATTATATTTATATATATATATATATTATTTTACATAGATTGTGAGCTCCTTTTTGAGTGTTTGGATAACACCTAGAACATAGTGGGTGGTTGTGTGAAGCAATGCTAGTCTTATTACTATAATAATTATATACTGATTATAATAAGTCTTTTATAATAACTACTTTTAACACTGCAAAGCTATGTGGATAGCTGTAGTCTTTTATAAAGGGATGTTTCTCTTGAATGCTATTAATAAAAGTATGGATGGCTCTGAAGTGTCAAATAACAATTTGGGCTTCAAAAACATCAAGAATTCAGCTTTAAAATTGTGAAGTTTACATTGTGAAACCTCATACATTTTGTTCCATGGTATTTCTTTTCTGGTTTCTAAGCCTCTAGAGTTCACTCAGGTCTGATTCTCAAGCTTGTTTCCATAATTAGAAAGAATAGGAGACTTGCATCCTTTTTTAAAAGTGGAGCTGTGATTCTCACATAATCTGAGGAATCCAAGAACTGGAGTCCAAGGAAAACACCAAATATCGTAAGATAAAATTGTGAGACTTGGCAACACTGAATGCCACTTTGAACTTGTATATGGTGTTTTCCATATAGAGGTTTCAAAGCTTCAGTAAGGTTTGGAAATGTTATGGCTAGTTGTCACGATTAGATTATGATGAAAGTATTTAAAGACAGGTGTATTCCACCCCCTGGATTTTACAAATGGTATCCAAGGCACTTAGAATTAGGGACTCATCTGAAGTCATTCATCTAGCCAGCATCAGAGCAGGTAATACAACCAAATGTGTCCAGCTTCCAGGTCATGGGTTGAACGCACGAGACCAGAATGATTTTAAAAGGTTATTTATACTCATCGTGAAGACCTGTGCAGCAATTTGTCATCGTTTGGGAACTCACCTGCTTTCGGTGCTTGTTTTGCCTGCCCTCAGGCTTCAGGTCATGGGAGGTAATGGTAATACTCTTTCCGAACTTTACTCCCCCATGCAAAGTAACGAGAGGCTTCTAATCAAATACACGGCATTGACATTGTAAACAGAGTTGACATTTCCATGACCTCCATTAGGCTTGCAGCGTTAACCAATCACAAGGCTGAAAGGCAGGCAGGTGGCGTGTGTCGGTTACGGTTGGGGCTGCCGGCTGTCTGCAGACTCGGGCAGACGGTGCTGCGTCCGTTCACACCTGGAAGGTTTTCCTCTAAGCACGAGGGCTGCTCCTTCTGTCAGTCAGCAGAGGTTGGTTGTCACAGCGCCGTTCCTCTGGAAAGCACCGTGACATCAAACAGAAGAGAATGATGTCACCTGGGGACTAAGTTCCAGGAACCGGTGAATTCTAAAGCAGCAAAATTAGATCTTAATGTGCCGTGGCAACTTCATAAACAGAGCTGAAAGTTATCTACATCAGCAACATGCTTTTGCCTCTCTTTGGCATATTTTCAGTTTTCTGTGAGGTATCAGGGCTCCTTTTAAAAGAACGCAAGGGGCTGCACCCTCCTCCTCTTGGTAGTGGATAGAGCACAGGACTGGATGGTAGGAAGATCCAGAGTTTCTCTCTGGACCGAACCACTGACTCAGCGAGTGACCTTGAGCAAGCCACTAGCACTCTTTTTGCCTCGGATTTAAAAAAGAGCCCCCTCCCAGCAGAGAAACAGCCAGGCACTGCATCTGACCAGGACATTCCTGAGGAAATTAATTGCACATCTCCTCTCTCCTACCAACCCCTGAGAACCACATGTGGTTCCTGACCTCTCCTGGGGAAACACATTCCTTGCAATAATGTGGCTGGCAACGAGTAAGTACCATAGTCATTAGAGGGTGGAATAAGAGAGACTGGTACTTTGCTGAAGCAACAGGGAGTTGTCTCTGGCCCCGT